GGCTCCAGCACACCCGCGACCCTTGTGAGGATGAAGCAGATCAGAAAATAGATGGTTGGAGGATGTTTTGCCATTCACAGTCTTCGTCTCCATTAGGATCCGCTCTTTTGAGTGAATTTGGGAACTCTTTTTTTTGCTGACTTCACGGCTCAGACCTCCCGCCAAAGGGCGTTCAGGAATTCCATTCTGACCTTATTTGAGACATGTTACAATGATGGTCAACATTTAAATCCAGGCAACTTTCTGTTTTTGGGCGACTATTTTTATATCTCACTCAAGGAAAATAGTGCCTCACCAATCATGAATCTCTCTGACATTGAGGTTGGGATATTGAAGAAGACATGGCTTATCCAAGCTTTTTGAGCAAAGAAAACTTTATTCGCCAGCAAGTAACACACAGTATCAAACAACAATTCATACGGCTCCATCACACATTTGATGACAAAGTGGAAAATGTCCATTTTATTCAGGATCACATCCAATAAAAGACGATTAAACACATATCTTAACACGTGGAGTGCTGCACAGTCAAGGACGGTACAGTGAAAAAAATAAATAAAAAAATGAATAATAAGTTAACAAAACACGAAGAACCAAATGAACCAACCAAACCTCCTCTGAAAATGAGTTAAAACAAATTACATTTAAAGACCACAACTCAGAGCCAAATATATGTAAATTTAATGAAGAATCCAAAAGTATGATAACATCATTAACATGCTAATTTTCTAATTCATTCCACCAACCAAAAAAAAAAAAAAAACACTTTTCAATGCACTCAAGGAAAAGAAAACTTCAGCATCTCAATAAGAAATTAGATTAAATACAATTTGCCTGATGAAGCCTGATTCGATGGGAGTGGAAAATTTCATTCATAACTGTTCATCTCATCATCACACTTGTGAGTCTTAATCTGAAACTTCCACAAAAATCTTTGGCCACAAACTGAGCAGGAAAAAAATTTCTCGCCAGTGTGGCTTCTCGCGTGTATTTTTAAGTTTCCCTTCTGGGGGAATCTTTCACCACAAATTGAGCATGAATAGGGTTTCTCGCCAGTGTGTGTTCTGGTTTTTATTTTTAAGGGTGTCTTCTGCGAGAATCTTTGGCCACAAACTAAGCAGGCAAAAGGTTTCTCACCAGTGTGGGTTCTTTTGTGATCATTTAAGCTTTATTTATGAGAGAATCTTTGGCCACAAACTAAGCAGAAATAAGGTTTCTCACCAGTGCGTGTTCTTGTGTCTTTTTAAGCTTCCCTTCTTTGAGAATCTTTGCCCACATTCGGTGCATGCAAAAGGTTTCTCACCAGTGTGTATTCTTTTATGAACATTTAAGTGTCCCTTCTGAGAGAATCTGTGGCCACAAACTAAGCAGAAAAAAGGTTTCTCACCAGTGTGTATTCTTTTATGAACATTTAAGTGTCCCTTCTGAGAGAATCTGTGGCCACAAACTAAGCAGAAAAAAGGTTTCTCACCAGTGTGTATTCTTCCGTGCTTTTTTAAGTTTCCCTTATCAGAGAATCTTTGGCCACAAACTAAGCAGGAAAAAGGCTTCTCACCAGTGTGGATTCTCACATGTATTTTCAAACCACTCTGAAAAGTAAACATCTTCCCACACTGACAACATTTCCAGGGTTTGTTGTCAGTGTGACATGTCAGATCACCATCAGACTCTCCATCCTCTTCATCATCACCATTTGATGTTGTGTTCTCACCATCTTTCGTGCAAGGGTAATTTGGCTCCTGCTCTCTTTTAAAGTATCGGGCCTGCTGTTCTTCCTCTTTGTTCTCCTCTTCCTCTTTAATGTGAAAGGGCTCTGCATCCAGCCGCTCAGGACAAGCATCTTCACTGATATCTGCAAGACACAAGAAGACAAAAACACCCATGGAATTCTGGTTTATAAT